CTTTTAGTAGGGTTTTGAGAGTCAGATTGATTCATTCAACAAGCCTGAAGCCAGAACTGAGAAACTGTTCTTAAGTTTTCGAAATACAAATTTGAGCTTGTCATTTCCTCTTACAAACAAAACTAGGATCTTACGCAAACGGCAGAATGTTTGTTATTTCCCACATAGCCGTAAGCTGTTGTACAAACCGTTTCGTCCTTAGCTAACTCAGCTATTTTATTGTTTGTGACAAAATAAGACGTTTTTGTGTGCGGCCATCAACTCAAAACGTTAGCATGCGATTTTTGTCAACACGGCTGTTCTTTTCACTCATTTGATTTTGTGGTGAGTTTATTGTGTAACGGAAATTTAAAATTTTAACCTCTACTTTTCGAATTTTTGCTTTATTCTGAAACGTTTATGGCAATAATGGTAATTAATACGCTTCATTCTTGCTATGAATGGTTTTGGTGGTACTTTTAGAATCGACTTCTTCAAAAACATCACCTGTAAATATACAAGGTGATATTTCCTTTGCACAAAGTGTTAATGTCTGTAAATAAATCCTCGAAATAAATAGCGTTACAAGTCAATAATATTGATCTCATTAGTTTTACTGAGCACAAACTAGTCTTGACACGCCTCCCTTTTAACTACTAGCTAGTGCAGGTATGCCCTTTCACAGCGCATAGAGATTTTTCCAAATATAGCTCAGCAATTCCTGACTTTTGATTTGAATGGGTTGAGATCCTTGTATTAAAAAGATTTTACGGAAAAAAGCGTTGAAGATGTCACAGGTATTCGGAGTTTGACAACGCTTTAACCAGTAACATATTCTAATATGAAGCGCACCCACCAAGTGAAATCAAAAGACAGAAGCGAGGAGATCGAAGATATATTTGATAAGCTATCAATATATCGAGGATCGTTTGAACTAATCTGGATAGCGATTGCGGTAGATGTTGAGCATGGTGTTCCCACACGTGATCTGGTGCGGATGCGTGACCGAGCGCCTTCAGCTAGATGAGTCCAGTAAAACTGTGGTCAGCATCCAATGTCGAATACTTACAGAGTTATTTATTTTGGGGATTTATATACCGCTACAGATTACTCCCCTCTAGTGGCAAGCGAATACCCTAAGACGTGGCCAGCTAGAAGATTAAACCCAACGAGTTGTTCCTTGGTAAACACTATTCTGATAGCTTGCCAGGTTTAGCAGCATCTGGTCGTCTTTCCTTACTATAATGGACAATGATGTACAATATAGTAAAAGAGAAAAAGTACAATGAAGATTTCCGTTTCTCGCAAACTTCGTCGTTCTTTTTATCGTCTTTTCCAGTCGTCCTGGAAACGAAACGAAAAAATATGTATGTACATTTCGAAATACACTCGTACGCGCGTGAAAACACAAAGCGAACGAAAAATGGAAAATAAACTCATGCTCACGTAATAGCGTAAAATAATAAAAATACATAAGCATATTAAATTCGGGTTTTTTCACTTTAAACGTAATTATATATAGTATAAGGGGAAAATCGAGATGATGTAAAATGTAAACTTTTGTCTTACGTGCAATAATCGTTCAAATGCTCAGGAAATCTTACAACTCGTGCTGAAGATCACTGTCTTCTTTTTGCAGCTAAGCGAGTTTTAAAAGTTCGATTCCTTGAAAACTGTTCAAGGAATTTATACGAGACAAGGCTTCTGCAACTACATTGTTTCTTCAGAAATGTGTCGAATATCCGAAGTAAACTGCGAAATATAGTCCAGTTTCGAGACTCACGTGGTGAGTACTTGTCTGAAGATGAGCTTAAAGAGAAAGTAAGAGGTTTATGGTCCGTAAAAATGGTGAATTCACGGCCTTTGATATAGTGTTGAAAATGTCGGACAGCACAATACATAGCTAGGAGTTCCCTACCGAATGTGCTGTACCTCGATTCAGTGTCTAGCAACCGTCTAGAGGAAAATGCCAAAGGTAGCCAGGAGTGGTTAACCCATTGTTGTAAGACTGCTCCGATTGCTGAGTCGGATGCGTGTACTTCAATACTAATGGGCGCTTCAGAGTCCTGATGAGCAAGCATGGTTGATTGAGCGATACGTTCCTTAACCGTGGAGAATGCTTTTCGCGCGATGTCATCCAGATTGATGGATTTCGCATTTCCATGAAGTCGGTCGGCTGTGTTCACCGGCTATGGTTACCGTTAATGCGTGCAGGCTTGGAAGTTTCCCGAAACATTTTTCGTGTCGACCGATTTTGAGTTGGAAAATTTGCAGGGTTTTCTTCAATTTCTAGAGGACTTTCCTTACTGGTTATGATATCAGCACCAGTTAGGATTATCCGTCTCTCGAGAGCTAGAGACAGATCGCCTACTTGATGTGCTTCTTCGCGGAGTATGTGACCGTTTACGGTCTTTACGAAGTTTGACATAACGCGTAAGTGTATGACATAACTCTGTTATGTCCTTCTGGGTGGTTTGAGGCTTTTCTTTGACTGAAAAAATTTCGGCGTTAGAAGATTTAGTGATTTCGACGATGCGGTCGACAGATGCAGCCAGCTCGTCTACGGCGTTGTTTTGGAACGAGACCAGCACAGCTTACACCTGTTGAGGGAGTTTTGATAAGAAAAGTTGTTTGAACAGGCCATCATCGAAGGTTCTTTGGCCAATAACTTCTCGCATTCTTTGCAACATATCTGTGGCAGAACCGTGTTGCAGGTCGATGTTGTTAAGGTGTTGGTCTAAACTTTCTCGATCGGTTAGATCTCGGCGTTTAAGGACGGCATGTTTGAGGGTTTTGTATGGGTCAGAAACATCACTAGAAAACATACTGGGTGTTACGTACCTGTTGAATTAGTGCGGTAGTGCCTTGACTACTGCACGTGTGTCGTTCACACCGTGCTCGTAGAAGTCGGCTTCTGCGTAGCAAAACCAGGCTTTGACGTTGTCTGGCCAGAAAGGCATTAGTTGGAAGAAAGGTGGGGACACAGTCTTTAACTTAAATACTTTGGGTGTCTGTTCAGTCATAGTGATATATTAAATACAAGAATGGACGAGTAGGAAATATATATATATATATATATATATATATATATCCAAAAACACGAAAAAATATCACAATGTATAAAAAATTAAAATAAGACAATGATATATAAAATCCCAAAAAGGAACAGACTCACAGTTTGCAATGTAGTGCACCAGATCACGTCGGGCTCACCAATGAAGATGCCACAGGTATTCGGAGTTTGACAACGCTTTAACCAGTAACATATTCTAATATGAAGCGTACCCACCAAGTGAAATCAAAAGACAGAAGCGAGGAGATCGAAGATATATTTGATAAGCTATCAATATATCGAGGATCGTTTGAACTAATCTGGATAGCGATTGCGGTAGATGTTGAGCATGGTGTTCCCACACGTGATCTGGTGCAGATGCGTGACCGAGCGCCTTCAGCTAGATGAGTCCAGTAAAACTGTGGTCAGCATCCAATGTCGAATACTTACAGAGTTATTTATTTTGGGGATTTATTTACCGCTACAGCGTTGTCGAACCTTAACTATTTGTGGAATATTACCCCTAGCACACAGGGTACTTTCCAGCTAACTGAAATTGCCAGTTAACACTCAATATCCTTAGGGCACTTCCGACTTTTAGGATTCTCTGTTAGGGACAAGTTTCGCTGAGATGAACGTGGACTACTGAATGACTGAACTGTCCCACGACCTATTTATTTATCCCCGAAATTCCACTGCCTTTTTAGTTTTTATCGAGCCTGCTTACTGAAAAGTTCCATACAACTATGAGTAAAAGAGCGAAATATGGTTAATAGGAAATGACGTGAGTGCAAAATCAGGATTTGACAGATAAGCCTCCAATGCCTTGCTTACACCTGTGCTCGATAACGGATATGTATTCGTCTGTATGATTATGGTCTAATTCGACAGTATATTTATCTTCGCTACCATAAAAATATACCTCAATCTAAACATGTAGATATGTCATGATGTGACTACCTAATCTATAAGGTCTTACATGGAATTCACATCATTATTTACGCCGACTCGTCCCATCGTATTAATTAACACTATGACGTCTAGCGCTTCGGAAGATCACATTTGAACTCAGAAGAGAGTAGCGTATTTGATACAACAAGGAGGAATGACCGCGCCTACACGACAGAGCCATGTCACTTAGATTAACTGTTACCGCGTTCACTAATGTTGACCCTACCTTAGTCTTAAACATTGGATGTAAACCTCAGTAGTCATACGCTGTCTCAAAGATCATGTTGTTAGGAACTAAGACTATTATACACTAACATTCATTACTTATTTTGCTGAAACAGAAGCATTAGTACCAGTGTGGATTATTTTACATTATGACGATAAATAAGGGCACTACACTTATGTCTAAACACATCCGTCTTTAGACATATCAAAATAGATTCCACGATGTCAGCCGGCCTCAGTGGAGATATAAGAGACACTGAGACCTTATACATCCTGCCTCTTGAGCGCTCTCGTGCCTGACACCATATATGAAAATCGAGGTACACTTATTGTTCTTTCAGGTTTTCTCTTGTAGTGGTAAAATTGTCTGCGTAACTTCCCTTGACTTTTGGACAGGTTAATCATTCTATCCTAATTAGTCACTATGTGATGTTGCATATGTACGTCTGTTATCCAACCAAATCAGTTGACAATTGTTCACGTAGAACATTTTCGTTTATGTGTATATTCGTAAATCTGTATTCGCACTTCGGAGTTTACTTGAGCTTTCCCAATAAATATAGACCAGTGGTTTACAAAGTCATATTCCTTTTCTTAAAGGAAGTATTGCACCGAATTAATGAGGAAACTGTAACCTCCCACAGAAACTTAATCACAACCTTTGTTTAATCACTTTTTGCAGGAATTATATTAACTTGCCATTGTAATAAAAAGGTATACAGGAAGAAATATTTATACAAAAATAAAGTAATGAACCAATTATTGGAACGAGACATTGAACAAAGTAACAAATCTAGATTAGATCAATAATAAGATCTGATTCGTCATGATATGGTGACGCTACTTCATGTAAAACTGATGGTAATTTGTCAGGACTAGCTGGAGTTTCTTCCAAAGAAGGAGAAGTTTCGGAACTATCATGTGTTATAGTAAAGGTAGTAGCATTATAAGAAACAGTATTAGCATTTTCTGAACAGGGTATATCGATGGAAACCTCAGTATCCAATTTCTTATTCACAGGAGATTCTGGAAATGATTTAGTTGTATCAGCTTTCTTCAACAGAGGGATGGTATTGACTGAAGCTTTCAAGGCATTCTTTAATATATGATTTGTAGCTGAAACAAATAAGAATAAATTTAACTAGAAATAACTATTCAATTGGTTTCTAGCAATAATCTGAAAAGTGTTTTACTTAAAAAATAAAATGTATTAGAAATAAAATTAGTTGTTTGCAGGAAAAAAGAAACATCATATATGAGGTCAAACGTCTTCACCACATAAGTTGATAATACGAAGTATGCAAAAGACATTGAGATCAACCTCCTTAGATGATACAATTTTCATCAAATTAATATTATTCGTTTGGAAAAAAGAACTATCTAGTGTTTAACATCCATAGAACAGAAAGCGACAGAATTTCAGGGTCACCAAAAAGTGATAGTCACACTGTAACAGTTTGATCTCTACTAATAACAGAAAATTCTTATCTCAAGGTTAAAGAGTTATTCGATTCAATCGAACTGGTTGGTGAAAAAGGTCACTTCTTAATTGCTTTTGATTACACTTTTTAGTGATGTTTGGTGTCTGGATGATGCTATTTTGGGAAATTATTGGCATAAATAAATCAATATATCCCAGTGAGTGGAAAAATTAGATTGTCTGATGTTACGCGACTCAGTGTAAGCCACCTCTTCAGAGAATAAATAACCAAATCAAAATAATCTAAGTTTAAATAGTACAACGAAACAAGAATATAATATGATCGATCAAAAAGTAGGTCTGATTGATCACATATTCTTGTTGTTCCGTTGTACTATTTAAACTTGGATTAATTTTCATTTGGCTATTTATTCTCTGAAGAAGTGGCTTACACTAAGTCACGGAACGTCAGAAAATCTAATTTTTCTACTCACTGGGACATTACAAATATATTGATTTATTTATAGCAATCTACCCAATGCTAAATTTATTCGAACTTATCAAGTCAAACCTTGGTAATGATATCTAGTTATTGGAATATTGGGATTACATTTGAGTACAAATCTTACGTACTGTTTACCATTTTTCAGTTAGTTTTTTAGCTGGTTATCAGTTATCAGCATGATGAATCTGCAATCTTCATAAGATTGATATGATCCGTTGACTTCTAACCGGTAACTACTACTCACTGATCAATAAGATCAAATATATCAGATCGTTCGCGGATATGATAGCTCGATATTGACATCTCTGGATTTGACACTGGGTAAAGTGGATTAAGATTGTACAGACAGTACTGGTTCCCTTAAAAGTGATGCTGTAATCTGCCGGTTATGAAGGTCTAAGATTTTCCATAAATTACATCCAAACGCATCAAGAATAACACATGTTTAAATGAATCTATTAGGAGTAGAGACCCCACTGCACATTGATAGATATAGTCAGACCATAATTTATAGAAAAGTCGATGAAATTAAAGATAGTAAGCCTTCGATTTTGGCGCAAAATGAATTTATCCACATGGTTAAATAGAAGTTTGGCATTAAGGCTGTTGTTCGTGATGAAAACCCTAACTCTAATTCTTTACCACAACCTCTAACTTTTAATCCTTATCCTTATTTTTCAGACTGGTGTAAACTTCAGAGATGTGACCTCACAACTATACGTCCAAAATGACAAGAAAAACAACGTACACAACTGTGTTTTTCCATTATTAATTGTTCCAGAACGAGAAGCTTTTCGAGCTGCAAGTCGTTCTAACGCTAGACGTTTATTTCTTTCAGCTCTTGACTCAAAATCAAATGAAGTAGATGGTTGCACTTGTGGTGATTGTATGTTGAAGCTGCCAGTTGAATTTTCAGTTTCATTTTCATGATTCAATTCTTTTCTGTAAACATCATTTATTGTAGATGGAGATTTTGTGGAATTTATCGTATCCTATAAGACAGTGAAAATGATTAGAATTAAGAAAACAAGTTTTAAACAAAACAAAAATGCAATCATCTGCCAATGCCATTGAAAGGTAATTAACTGCCTATCACTCAACTAATCATGGTCTCATACTAAGTCTCCAGGAACTACCTCCCCAAATTAGTCATTGGTGGGCACATAATCGTTATTAATTTATAATTTATATCACGAACCGTCCTTATTTAAAAAGTCATTTAAAACCAGGAAACATTGAACAGTTATTTCATTCCACAATGAGACTATCGAGAAGTCCCATAATACGATGAAACAGCAATTCAGTGCTCCCCAACTTTTCGTAGTTGTCTAACCAAAGTCATATCGTGAGGTAAATTATAGAAAGACAGCAATAATTAGGACTGGTAATTTGCTCCCATTATGACGAAAAGAGCTATTAGCAATGATTGTATATTCTTCTATATTCACTATATATAATAAAATCAGCATATCAACAGGTTAGGATACAAGCAAATAGACACTTTATAATGAACTCGAAATAAATGAGTGCTATTTTAAATCAATGCGTTGAGAAGTGTATTAGAACTGAATGTAAGAGTCAGAATAGTGATAATAGCATAGTGATAGGTGGACTAACCAGTGAAAACCTGAGAGAATCAATTGAAAAAGAAATGAAAGATACAAATGTTCCGAACTTAATAAAAGATAAGTCAGTCAACGATTTCAAGCTACAGACAATCGACTTGCCTGATAGGATTGAATAAATCATATGCTCCATCAAGTTTGCATAGTAAGAGAGAGATATTGTGAGTGAATTACTAACTAATTGAAGATCATCACCTACATATCTCTGTATGAGTCGGTCCCTCTCTCCCCATATAGATAAACATCACATTGACATCACGAACCGGTTTAAGTTGGCCAACCATTGAAGATTTATGAGCACTGGATGGCCGTTTCGTTTTAGTATGAGACTCCTCAGAAGTGCGCACCCAAGACGCTCAGTTTCGATAGCGAACCTCAAACCCCTACTAGGTCATTGAGTCGAGATTCAACGGTGTATAAAAGTCTAACTTCAATCAATCAATGATATATATATATATATATATATATATATATATATTAACGCAAAAGTTGTAGTCATAGTTATTCGGCTCTCTTCATAGTCTTGATCCTCTTTCGCTGCATTGATGGCTGATGAGTTGCAAGAGCGTGTAACAGTGACTAAAAAAGACAGTAAAACGCAGCAATAGTACCGAGTATACACAATCAATGATCACGGTTCTCTGATGAATCTAATCAAAGAGGTCTAGAACTCAAATCTGTACAAACTGGACTAATAGCCAACTAATTTATGAACTCATTTTGTCTGGCCTTTTAATCACCTTTACATCAACAAAATTCACTCCTCCGGCATCAAGTCAACATAAAACTCACAAACTGACCTACCACTGGTATAAAGTACTACTCCATAGTTAAATTGATGGTTCAACAATGAATATTTTATGACTAGGACACAAATAAATAATGATATGTATAAAAATAGGGGGACACTTATTGATTCAGAAGTTTCCCAACTAAGCCATTTATAGCATAGAACGAAAAGTAATCGAAGAGATAGTAATCATAACAAATTGAAATTTGTTTTGAAGATAAGTGAGAACTAGAGAGAAAAACATTAGTTGTTATTTTTAATATCTTAATTTCGAACTGATAAATAATATGGATCTAAGTACTCATCCTTTATTAACTGAACATAAGAGCTTTTTATATGGACTCTTCAGCGACATTTGGAAATATCATTCCTGATTTAAGTGATTTGACAAGAAGCGGTTAAATTAAAGACGAATATTTTCACTCACTACTGACCAACCAAACAGGAAGAAACATTTGATGACTTTTCATTTTAATATTATGTTGATTAAAAATGTACACAGTTGTATTTTTCGCAAATATTAATATTTCTCAGTCATCGGCCATATTCTTTCTTCTATGATATTGAGATATATGGTTCTGGGAATAGCAATCATATTTGTTGTCAATTTGTATCGTTGTATCACAGAACGTTACCAACAACTAGTTGCGATAATCTTGCAAACTATAGCAAAGTAGTATGCACTTACAAACATGGCTCAGTTCAACAGTCAATGACTTTAAAGACTAATGTCAAATCCTGGTTTACTAGCCCCTGACTCTCTTCTAACCCATTCTCCTACACTAACGAAGATTGAACAATAAGGTAGACGATAGTTGGGTATATGTAATACATGTCCCAACTACAGCAGCCAGTGAAGACTCCCTACTTCACCGACTAATTTGCTATCTTCGCCTATACTAATATCGTGAACTAGGCTACACGAATAGAAATTCATTTACCTCAGGAACAGATTCTAAAGCCCGTTTCCATACTACATCCGGATCTTCTTGTTCTGATGTGCTTTCATTATCAGATGGTACTGCTTGTTCTTCACTTGTATATGGTGGCCAAATACCATTACGAAGTCGATGTAAAGCAACACGTATTTCACGTTTACTTCCAACATTTTCTAAACGATCTATAACTTCAGGAAAACTCATTCTAGGTACCAAACGATGACTCCATGCTTCATAAACAAATAATAGTTTATTCAAATCTTGAAACTTAAAAACATATATGTATAAATAATTAGTAAGCATTTCAAAAATTCATAAAAATGAAAATAATTACAATAACAAAAACAGAAGTATATAAACAATCGTTTAAATAATAAGTGACATTGCATAAATGTATCAATTCGCTTTAAAAGTTTTCTTACCATTATGGAATGTATAGATCTTTTGAAGATTGAACTGGGAATTGTCAAACTATTTTATCATCTCATATTTTCAAATATAGTGTGATAAGTTTGATTAGAATAATTTTAATTCTCCTTAAAGCTTATTGCATTCATGTAATTTGATGTGTAAAGTACAAATTTATGTAGTCAGTTTGAAGCTTCATCACTGATTTTATAAGAACAACTATAACACTGTAAAATTGATCTTCCCAAAATGAGATAGATGGGTCAGGGAAAAATAATTTATTTTAATAGTTGAATTCATGAGTTGATCTAAGCTAGACCATCATTGAAAACCTGGGAGCACTGGAAAGCCTTCCCACACTAGGATGAAACGGCCATCCAGTGTTTTCAGGTTTTCGATGGTGGTCTAGCTTAGATCGACTCATGAATTCAACTGTTAAAATTGCTACAATTTCCACAAACCCCCAGTCTAAGAACAATTTCTCTTAATTTATATTTTTTATTAAAAAGTATTACAGTGCTAAGCAACCAAATTCAAAGTGACTATTCCATAAATCTAATTAACCATAAAAAAATGTTTGTAACTAAGGTGATTGTAAAGACGTCAAACAGTAGCACAAAAGTTTTTTTTCAAAGAACACTTTATATTTGAACCAACGACTCTACTGAAGTTCAGAACCACGAAACTAAAACCTTACAACAAGAGCCCAACCATTGAATGATAGAGTCTGCAGTGTTTTCATACTACGATGAAAATCATTATCCAGTACCTACTGGTGTCCAATAGTACTTTAACTGAATTCAATAGTTAATGAATACTAATAAAAATTAAACCAAATACCATACACATATTTAAAGAAAGTTGAATAAATAAATAGTATCTTTTGTTTGAAGTAAATATTCCTAAGTGAAGTTGATATTTTAGCTTCTGAAAATAACTTAGTTCCGTATTCTTTTTGATGCAACTCAATCTGTTGCAGTGTGGTACAAAAGCATCATCTTGGTAAAAGCCTCTTTAAGATCTTTAGTTTCAATAGTATTTTACACTATTTTGTTTTGTTAATTCATTCCGTCTTTTCTAATTATAGTTTTTATGTTTGATCTTTCATATCATAACTGTTATTGATATAACCGTCATTTCGACTCTTTGAAATTCTTATCTCTCCAATTTCATTTGTCCGTGCAACGTAGTGTGATAAATTGGATCGATGTGTATTTAATCCAATACCTACGTTGATCATCATAAAATTCACTTTATATTGATATTTTGGATATTCCCAGGTAGAAAATGTCTAAGTTTACTGAATCTTCTTTAATCACTGATATGTATCTACATAAATACAAAATTTTGTGGGTCATATTTATCGCACAATAATGTAACCTGACATCCAACTGGAAACTAGGAAGCACCGGACAGCTGTTTTGTCATAGCATAGGACTCCTCAACAATGTGAATCCACTATCGCATTAGAGGTTGAACCCAAAAACTACAGTATTCGTTGGAAACTCTTGACTATTACTAAACAACTAAATGAGAACGGTTGTGAAGTCCTGTACTCGAAAGAAACAACTCTCTAGCATTCTCTGATTTTCAATAGAATGCCAACTCACATCAATTTTTGATAAATACCACTAATAGATTAATTCAATCTGAAAAAAATTCATTTACTATATTTATGAAAAGATAGATATCTTCCATACACCTACCTCATAGCCTTTACCTCGAAATTTAACTTTTTTGAAATCTTCCAGCAGAGCCGGCAGACCTTTGTTACTCAATAATCTAATAAAATGAAGGTGAAAGAGAGAATAACAAAAAAAATAGATAAGCAGAACATTTGAAAAATTCATGTAATCTCGAAAAATTTCCAGCTGTAACACGGAATAGACGTTTAACAATGTAGTTAGAGGCATTATTAATGAGATTATAATAAAATCGTTAATGTTGGAATGACTAATATGAAGCGTTGACTTGACTGAGTGTATACGTTAAATGAAATTGTGAAATTAATGATCAGAATAAATACAATCAAGATGGAGTGAAGGAGATGATAATGTAATTCATAGTTTAAAGTTATTCACACATATTATTATAATGACGCTTGCAAAAGTTTTAAGGAATTTATTCAGCATGCACCCCTATTTACCCATTAGTACCTAATTCATATTATTCTATATATTACGTGATTTCTAATTTGTTATTATATCATTCTCTCTCTCTCTCTACCAGGCCACAAATAACCATATTTATTCTGATCATTTATCTCACAATTTCATTTAACGTATAAACTTATTCACCACAACATTAACGATTTGATTTTACCTTAAACCTGGACATTATTTGGATAATTAATTTGTAGAAACTGATGGGGATTTATTGAAAAGAATATTTTTCGTTCATATATTTGTGTTTCAATATGATGGAAGTTTTTCAGCGACTAAAATTTTTATGTCATCTCACAGCTCAAGCTGCAGCGATATATATATATATATATATATATATATATATATATATATATATATATATACATATATATAAAGTTAGTAAATCAAGAATAGCTGAACTAGACAGATGATAGTCGTGTTTCAGATGAATTTAGGTTTGTAAGTTGAAACTAGTGTTGGGTTATTGGATAGCGGTTTGCACTACTGGCAGTCCTTTTATTAGTGTTAAACAGTTTAATATAAACTAACGATCGATAAAATTATATGTAAATGGGGAATTAAGCTTACGCCGAAAATACTAAAGGATATATATCGGTATCTCCGAATGTAACAAATAATGGAAATTCGATTAATTTATTTTCCAAGACTTTTCTACAGTTTGCTCGATCATTTGAACATGTACCAAGTCTTGAATAGTTTGATCATTCATACTAGGAATTTTCGGAATAGATTTGTCAGGCAGCCAAACGTTTTCATCAAGAATATTTCTCTCACTCCTCGAGAAAATCAGTTTCACAATAGACCATAGATTCGATGAAGAACAGACAGAGAAAAACCTTTTCACACTGATCTTTCTAATATGTATTGGATACTGATTTTCTAGTTTAATTATCAAACCCAAAGAAACATTAATACTAATTACATCGAGATTCTGTATTTCGAAAACTTTATTACTCATTTTGCTATAACTTGTGGGTTTGTGCCCCTATCAATGTATAATGTAATGGTACCGCCAACTAGAGAACAGTGAATTATCGACAAGACAAGAGACCTTATCGGTCCTTCTTCCCACTTAGTCCTGCCTATCACGTCCAGAACACCAATCTCAGCCTCTGTGATATGAATTATTTATTTCGAACATACTGGGTTTATACACCAACCAGACAGACCACATCGTACCATAAAATAGGAAACAACAGTTGTACAAGATTTGGTAAAAAGTGGCTGTAAATGTGGGAGGTAGTGATTAATAAACAGGTAATAATTCAAGAATGGTAAATCGTATAATAATAGTTCATAGGTCAAAATAATGCTTATAATAAGAGGAACACAAATATGAATAGTTTAGTTATTTAACAATTATACGACAAAAATATACATATAGTATTGGCCCATAAATGGATCCCAAAAGTTACCATTCATTATTCACGTCGGGATATAAAAATGTTTACACAACATTTGGCACAGATAAAAGTAGCATTACGACAAATAATTCGCATAGATTTTTTGAGATGCACTGGTTAGAGTTTTATTAAAGGTGTCGCTATTGTTTTAATGGTGAACTAGGTTTATTGGTATGGGTGATGCTATTATGGAGTGAGAATCTTATAGCTAGTTTATGATTTTAAAAATATACATGAATTTAAATAGAGATGGGTAGTGGACACCAGTGAAATCCAGGAAGAGCGTCTCGTGATCTTTGGAACTCGTCAGCTGGGTGTATCTGCTGATATTCACTCGTAAATGCGAGTCTAGTAATCATCCACTTTAGACATCCAAAGTGTTATCTGGACTCAGTAGGCCAGTTGATAGCATGTTGGACACTAGAAGGGAGAGGAATTTGGTTCAAGTCCTGAAGTAGACATTAACTCTGGGATGCAGGCAAATCCAGTTGACGAGTCCCAAACATGACGAAAAGCGAGTTCGGAATTCCATTGTTACCCACTATCCTCCATTAGTTAAAAGTACTTCTTAATTAATAGCCATAACGAGATTTACATACACTGATCAAAACTGACCAAAATCGATTTCGTAACAAGGGCAACAGGAATCAGCAAAAACTTACATATGTATGATTTTATATGATTTCCTACCGAATAAACATAAAATCTGATACAATCGAGCACACACTAATAAGGAGATAGAGTTGTGAAGAAACAAAGAAGAGTAGTAGAGTACAATTTAAAGAATAAAGCAAATGGATAAGAACAGTGTACAACGTGCGATAAAGTACAATCATATAAGATTTCACGTAAATGAGTTACTTTGACTTTCATGAAAACAGTAAAACAATACAACAGAAGATTAGCCATTGGCTTCTATTCTGAACCATATCTGATAACATCTCAAATTAATCAGTTGCGTCATATCTAGAACCCCGATAGATCTCAATCCTATGCAACATTCTTGCAAATATGAATGATAGTTGCATCCTTTAATGAATTTCCCACCAGACTTCACTGCATACTTTGTGTATTCAAGTAACGGTATGTGATCAAATTAGTGGGGAGATATTCAAAGTGAACTATGTGAGATACTTTGGAAAAAGGTAATTGATCATAACATGGACTATTTATCATCAATTAACAACAAATTATAAAAATCAGTCAGATTGTGATTACCACATTGTATGATTTCATTTTATGGTGTCACAGGCGCTCACTAATTGAATACTCATTTACTAAGTACAGATGCGAGTACTTGCCTTTAAGTCACACTAAGTGTGAAAGCTAGTGGTACTACCGGTGAGACTATAATTTATGGACAACCTTTGCGCAATACTCAAGTGACTTAAGGAATGTTCACTTACTAACTAGGACTAAATGAGAGTTATAAACCTGTGGGAAGATTCAAGATTATGATTTATAGTTGGTGGTTAGGATTAGGAATTAGATTTAGGGTTTTCATCACGAACTGACATCAGCTATAATGCCAAAAGGCTATTTAGCCCAAATCCAAGACTGACAATCTAAATCTGATTGGTCCATCCATAAATTATAGTCTTGCTCCTAAACCATTGAGACAATGATCATAAGTAATCAACATTGTAAATACAAAATGTATATTCACTAACAAATGAATCACTGACAAGAAAGAATATACATATCGTCTTAAACTCCTTAACCATAAATATTTGTCAGTTAAACACGATTTACGATAGGCTTTTATTTTAAATATCTTGAGAAAAACGGTCATCAATACATACATTATGCTGAATAAAAGCAAATAATATAGATTAGGTTTTATGAAAACCAAAAAAGCAGAAGTTAGGTGGTTCGCAAATAATTTTTTAGCAGTGAGATAGATGTGGATAAATCAACGAAGTTTCTCAGAACAGTACAGAATAAATAATACAAGAATATCAATAAAATAGTGAGTAACCTTCTAAGTGGATATATATAAGGTACAAAATTTAATGATTACCTTTGAGGGTCAAGTTTGGGACGAGGATTCTTGACAACACGTTTCGCTGCTCCTTTGGAAATCTTACGTAATTTCTCCAATACATCAGTATCCACCGCATCTGAATACAGAAAAATGATGAGAAAACAAAAACTAAAAGGTAAAAATGTTGACAAACTCTTATTTGAAATTTACCCAGGTTGGTGAATCTTCATCAAATGAGATGGTTACATGTATTATCAATGTCCAACTACCGCTTACACAGATGGACGATGTTGCCTAGCAAAGTAGGCTGGGGGGGAAGCTAGGGGAAACCAAGGCAAAACAGGACACCAATCCAAGAAGTCGTTGACGGTTGAGCTGAATCATGTCGGTAGGTGTAGATTATCCGGTTGGGTTCAGAGCGATTTTCGTAACCAATGGGTAGAGACACTGGGTGAGATGGCTCAAGATCGTTAGCAATGGTGAATGGGATTTACCTTGATAATTTGATGGAGCAACTTGAACCGATATATGTCACGTTCTACGTTAATTATGATTAACTGATGGCTGTTCAAACGAAATTTAGTGCTATATAGAATAAAACAGACTAAAGCACCCAGTACTGTGACATATTACATTAGAGGTATATGTGCAAAACTGTAACGATAGTTCAGTGATTGAAGTGATCACTTTCCAACATATACATCACGAGTTTGAAACGATTTGCGCTACCTACTTCGGTTTGAGAAGCCAGAGAGTATTAATAAATCCCTCACAAAATAAATCGGCTCAAAGCTGAGTACTTGGTTGTAATGGCACAGATACATTCACTACTCTTCTTCCCTAAGATCCTTCACTTCAGAATAAATTTATACTACAAACCCACTGACTTTTCTACAAACTATTTTTGTTGAGTATTTTCTACTATCACTGATATTACTACTACTTTTGACATTTTAGTATTAATCTTTACAATTTCATCTCTTGCTGTAAAAACGTAGTGTAGTAACTTCAACAGTGTACATATTATTGAGCCCGACTCTATGTTTCCTATGACTGACTTGGTAGGTGAGTTACACAGTCAATTAGCTAATTTATGTAGGATCAAATACGTGAACTGATCTTAGGTTAGTTCGCTTACCATCATCTGCGCCAGACGGCAGTTCATGTCGGTTATTAGTATTGTATCCTTCGGAAATTCCATTTGGTGAGTAAGCACGTCGTTTGGAGTCGCGTTTTAAGTCATTTTCACGACGACGGTTATTTCTCACATGTGGATCATTAGAATCATCATTGACAACAGATTCTGCTTCGTCTTCAGTAACACCACTGTTAGATTCCTGTCCTGAAGATTCATAATTTAAACGTCTTTCGTCATCATCTGATGACGAAGATTCTTCACCTCGTGGGATTCTGGTTGATTCAATTGGAGGGATAGAAGACGGTAAATGAGTGGACATGTCAAGATCTGTATAGTCATTTTCTTTGTCGCTAACACCATCATCATCATCCAGCACAACACGTAACCGATGCCGTGATAGTTTGCCTACTTTTGATGAATAACTCACATTGGAATCATTTAACTCAGAAATACGAGTACTGCTTAGCACACGAGAAGCAGAGATTTTAGGGGCAATTTCCGTGAATGCCTATGATTAATATTAGAGAAGAAACATGAATTTAAAAAGTGAATAATTACCGAGAAACAAAAAGTTTTACATTAGTCCTATAAATGATATTATTGAGTAACAGTACACATGATTATGTCGTCAATTTTGAGATACACGTTGTGTATGCATCAGTGATACTACTCAAATGTTCAGACTGCTGTAGGTAAGTCAGCATGGTTACAGTACTCAGCTTTTGGTCACTAGGTAGTTTAAAAAATATACTATAGTACTTCAAGTTATATGAAGTTGACAAATAGGAAGGTATACATAATCTATGATCATGGCACAAGTGCACAACTCACACGGACTATAAAAATCCATTTGTATAATTTTCAACAGTCTAGCTGAACTGTTTGTACACAACTCTGGAGTCTTTTTTTATGAAAATCCATTAAACAGTTGAAGGTAAAAAAACACTACATTGAAGTCTGGGAAACAATTGGGGACGAATCTCAGGAAAAGTTCCTACTTTTTTCATACATTATGTTGAGAAGTCTATGTGTTTTTGTTATAGTAGACAGAATATTAATAAAATGATGTTAATACACAAACAGGCAGAAGTTATGTAATCTCTTAAAATAAAACATAGGAAGTACACTTTTGTATTACCATTATGAATATTTAGTAGCAAAACGATCAGCGAAACTCATAGGTGGATACTTTATAAGACCTAATTAATGTCATTGACTCAACAAATCAAACGTACACATGAGTTTATGGGTATCAATTCCAAGGTTGGACTTGAGTTTCAAATAAATTGAGCATTGGGTAGAGAGTTAATAATATACATATTTTTTGTTATATCCCAATCAGTAGAAAAATTGTATTTCTGAATTCGGTTATTTATTCACTCTGAAGAAGTGGCATACATTAAGTCACGAAACGTCAGAAGTACAATCTTTCTACTCATTGGGATACAACAAAAAATGTGTTTATTATTAAACATACACATGGCACAGAATTGTTTACCATGGCGCAACTGTATTCATTCTTCGTCTAGCCAAAGATACTAAGTTCATAAATTATACTACGATTTTTTCGCCATACAAATAATCTACTCTTTCTTCTCAAATCACATTCTATTAGCCTAATCTTTTCCACGACCACTAATACTATTACTACTTCTCCTGCTGTGACATCTCACCCGGTGATATGTTGTGGCAACTTGAACCAATGCACGTATGCCCCAGGTTTTAAGTTGCACATAAATAACTGACTAACGTATACACACACGATTGGACCATCCAACCAATGGTATACACAAGTAGTCAGCAAGATAAGTTTATTGCTTATATAGTTAATAATGTTGGATGAAATGGTTTTATTGCTTCGATCACACCACCAATCCGTGAAGATGTTATGTCGAAAAAGACAATTTAACGCTACACAGTATAAATATCTAATTAACATAAAAATATTTTAAATTAACAGATAAACTTAATGCATAGAAATTTATTTGAAATAAAAGAGGAAAATCCATTTATTTAGGTATACAGTAAAACAAAAACAACACACATACGCATGAAACCATTGAACACAGATTCAAAATAATCACTTATATTTAATTAAAACAGTATGATTTGACACACAAAAAACAACAATTAATGTTATACTTTGTACAATACACAAATAAGTGTAATGGTGAAAATAATAATAATGATAATGAATAATTCCAATAAATGGTCATAGCCAAGTTGTTTTACATTTCTCCACATTGTGATATTAGTACAGGAACTTTCGGACGATTATTAGCACCAGTTGGTACATTTTCAATTTTCTTCAAAACTAACATCCCATCGACAATTCGACCTGATAAATAAATAAGAATGTGACCGAAAATAATATTCGGAGTGTAATTTTTAAAAAAATAATAAAACTGTAAACGAATATTTTATACGGAAATGTAATGGGTTAAGTTACTGGAATTTAGAAAATCGTAAGAATAAAATGACGAAAACGAACGAGGACATACGTTGTTTAAAAGTGTAAATATCTTGGCCATACAGAAGATCGATTGCAGCCCAACTATCTCAGCAACAAAGTCTCTGATTGTGACATTGGTTTAGATCCTAACAGGATTAGTTGTTTCAAGATTATAAATACCCCCTGATAGTATGTCTCAAACATAACATAACAAGAATCCAGGGCTTCCTCTTAGCGATCCATAATCAACTAACATGAATTAGTAAACTGATGATGAAGTAACTCATAAGAAAGCAAGCAGAGTTTGTGTAATCACGTTTAAGACAGTTTAATTCATTTGAAGGCTAATAATGTAGATTTCATATAAACTAGATAGTTGCTTAAAGGTGAAATCATTTTGTTGCCTGTATTGAAGACGTTCCCCTCAAACAATGAAAATTCCTACTGATAACAGCTTCCTACAATACGTAGAATTTAGAATAAATCCAATAAATTAAGGTACATCTTGATTATCGCCATGATTTTTTGGTTCCCAAACAACAAACACAAGCAAATATCTACAAGTAGGAGTTAATAAAGGCTTAAAATACTTCCTACACATCTATGGCATATGAGGGCCATACATAAACCAATAAATATTTTTAACTCCTTCACGTGACCCTAGCCCTGAAAACAAAGCTGATATTCATACTTCTAATCTGTTTAAAGATCAAGACTAAAAGAATTTTCGAAGACTAAAAAGCTGTAGGTAATTTGATCTCAAAGCAAATCACTCGTTCACCCAACAGCAATCGGTCTGTGATGAAATGTTAGTTTAAAAATTTGAATAAATCTTCACAATTAATTAAAGAGATGGTAAACACTATATTGCGTATCTTTATGAAGGATTGATGATAGTTTTAAAAAAAGACTGGATTTCAATAAGCTGAAATTTTACACTAGGATATCTGTTTACATCTTAGCGACCTAAAAGAGGACAACTGCCTTTTTTTAAAAAAGACCACTAACAGTGATGAATGAAATTAAACAAACAATAAAAGAAACGAGTTTGCATTTAAGCAATATCTTTAGGGCTTACTGACGATACGAAAGTGGAAATTGAAGTGAATGTATTAAAAATGTATGGATTTTCGAAGTCACACATATCAACTGTTTGCAAATACTCTGAAGGAAACAGAAAACAAAACCACGTACGCTATCATATGGAATTCCTTAGTTGGGAATTGTACATATTTGTTCGGTTATGTTGGCCAATAAAACCTTCCTATACATTCTCATCCAAGTAGCTCGTTTGGGAATGCATACAGAGAGCGTATACGTATAAGAGGTAAGCCCATGCAATCGCAGAACATAACATGTCAACGATTAGAAACGTATTAGTGGGTTGAAACTTGTTGTCAATGTATTAATGAACTGAAAATATTTCTCAGAACACAAATTGACGAACTACAAATAAACTTACCGAAAACCACATGTTTCCCATCGAGAAAGTCACAAGGGGCACAAGTAATGAAGAACTGGCATCCATTTGTATCACGACCACTATTTGCCTAAAAGAATAAATTTAAAAAGTGTGATTAGACTAGACAATTAAAACTTTATACTCAATAATTATCATCATCAGATAAGCTTTCACTTAAGTCATTAAGTGTCGACATAAGTTTGGCCATTTGTAAACTAATGTTGACTAATTACGAACTTACCAGTGAGTTTTATGCATTAATTTTGATTTCCTATATGTGACGCGCTTCAGTTGTTAAGTTTACTTGCATTTTCTATCTCTATTTTTTTCCACTTAACTCTTTTGTGTGTTGCTTTATAATTACTTATGAATGTTAACCGTCGTGGAGCATAGGCCGTCGACCAAGAGTCACCAACCTACTCCATCATGGACTCTTCTTTCCAGTAGTTTCCAATCCCCATTCATTCTTTCAACATCTGCCTTAAATTCCCGAAGTAATGTGTTACTTGGTCTTTCTCTTTTCCATTTCCCTTCAAGATTCCAAGTTAGAGCTTGTCTTATGATGCATTTTAATGATTTCCACAATGTATGTCCTATCCACCTTCAACATCTTTTCCTAATTTCCACTTCAGCTGAGAGTTGCTTTTTGTATAACATAGTAGGTTGTTGCTGATGGCATCTGGTCAACGGACATTAAGTATCTTGAGTAGACAATTATTTATAAATACCTATATTATTCTGATGATGGTTGTGGTAGATGTCCAAGTTTCAGCTGCATACAATAAAACTGTCTTGACGTTTGTGTTGAAAGTTCTGGCTTTGATGTTGGCTGAGAGTTGTTTTGAATCTCATATGTTATTCAGTTGTAGAAATACTTTCCTTGCTTGGTAATCCATGTCTTTACATCTACATCAGATACTTTCTGTTTATCGATGATCCTGTCCAAGTAAAACTTTTCACCTCTTACAGAGCTTCTTCATCAAGTGAGATTACTTTCGTTATCTGTGTTGTATTTGAGGATATTGCTTATCCCTTGTGTATGTTGAGGCCTACTGATGCAGAGGCTGTTGCTATACTAGCTGTATATGGGATAGAAGAGTTAGGTCATCTGCCAAATCCAAATCATCTAGCCATATCCAAGTTGTCCGTTGTAATCCGTGCTTCCCCTGAGGTGTGGAGGTCAGCATAATCCAATCGACCGCCAGAAGAGAAAGGGAAAGAGTAGGAAGCGTTGTCCGAAAAGGGGTCTTCGCTTGGAATGCATATTGCAGTTACTTTTATGTCTAATTCAGTGCTTAAGATGTTATATTGTCAGGGCTTGTTGCTTTCCCACTCTTGATTTATCTGATGGTCATCCTGATTTCCTCGATAGCTGGTGTAGTGACATTTTAAGAAGGTTTGTGTGTAGTGCTTCGACGTCTGGTTGGTTCAATGGGGCTGATCTACTCACGAGTTCTTTAAAATGCCTTAAACATCTGTTCCTGACTTCCAGTGATTGACTTATCTTCTTTGTCCTTGACTAGTCTCTCTGGTTTACTATATTTCCCTGCCAATTTTTTCGTTGCTTCATACAGTTGATTTTTATTTCCTTCTATGCAGCATCGTTCGTTGTCGTTTCTAGCTCTTCTATATACTTCTGCCTGTCGGCTCTAATGCTCTTCTTCACTTGCTTGTCTGCTTGTGTATTTATTTTGTGTCTTGACTTTCTCTGTTCTTGTTCGGCTGTTGTTGATTTCTGTCCCCTTCTTTGTTTTTTGAATCTTATCCAGTTTCCATATAGCTCCATTCCTTATAATGATGCTTCTTGCGGCCCAGCACCTCCTAACTCATTGAAGTTAGTGCTTCTTTGCTCCCTTTCCAATTATCCTCCATATTATTTTCATGTTGTTGAGCTGATCTTGTAAGGCCCTCAACCTGTTGTTGAGATCTATGTTCAATTCGTTGAGTTAGTTAGTATGTCGAAGGAAGGTTGTATTAAGTGTTTTAATGCTATCTCCCCAATTGTCTGGTGTTCTTTAGCTTCAGGTTCATCTTGGCATCCACCAGGTGGTGATCTGAATTGATGTAAGCTCCTCTCTTAGTCCTCACGTCTTCCATTGACCTTTTGAATTTTTTAGTGATGCAAATATGATCGATCAGGTTCTCTGTAGAATGATACGATGAAACCCATGTAGATTTGTGCATGTGTTTGTGGGAGAACATAGTGCCGCCAACAACCATTTTGTTGAATGAACATAAATTTGCAAATCTCTCGCAATCTTTGTTCCTATCTCTTAATCAGTCCATGCCGTCCTATGATACCTTCATGACCAGTGTTGTCCATTCCGACTTCGGCGTTTAGGTCTCCCATCAGGATGGTCAGGTCTTCTCCGGGGTATTTCTCTACGATTAACTGCAGGCCCTTGAAAAACTGACCTTTACCGTCTTCATTACTATTATTAGTTGATGCACAGCACCGGATAAAATTCACTATGATCAACTCCTTTGTCTCGAAGAATGCTTTGGTGACTCTGGATCCATGAGTGCTCTTAGTGCTTTTTGAACAGCATCAGTTCAACTGCTTGCGTGTGCAAAGCATTTTCTTTTCCATGACCAAAATACAATAGCATCTCTCTCGAATATAATCTTTTCTGTATAACACGGGTACAATGGATTTCACTAATCGCGAGCACCGTCAAGGTGTATCTCCTCATTTCTGTAGCTATTTGATTGGTTCTGTCAGTCTCCCACATTATGCGGAAATCCGATGTAACCATATTAATTGTTGCTCTGGTTGTTAGAAGGGTATCAGCCTCGTGACTTCCGAAGAATCTCGGCTTTCACCAAGAGGCTTCACGACTCTTCTAGCAAGGTTGTGTTCTACGGGATTAGGTTGTTGACCCAATGTCCGACCCTCCTTTATTCACAATTGCAACTGTAAGTAACCTGAGAAGGGTTACGATAATTGTTTATACTACTTGTTAATATTCAGTAATCAATTGCATTTTTAATAATTTCTGAACGTATGGTATAACGTACTTTGCTGTGTGATTAATAACATTTACAGTATTGATTGTGATTATTTTCGTTCATCCTTTGTAAGTTATTTGGTTTCGTACTTTCCCAGAATCCTTGTTTAAATCCAACAGCTTCCATACTTATGTGCTTTTAGTTCCTAGATTCGTAGCCTATAAATTACTGTTAACATTAGATACAGATACCAGTTGTCATCAACGCTACCATATGATGTAATTACTCTTTATATTATTAAAGGAAGCCTTTCTCGCTTCATATACGCAGACGCGTTAATTGCCGTAGATACCTCAGGAGTTGAGGTTTATATTCAATTCGTATGTAATCCTTAATAATAAAGCTGGAGTAATAAAAACAACTAATTCATTGATCAACGGTGTAAATTACTGATCATTAATTAATTAACTAACTACCTATCGCCAAAATTGTATTTTTCAATTTTGAATACATCATTGGGAGAATTTCATTTTTCAGTGCATAGATCCTTAAGAATAGTAATGCTACAGTGATTTGACGAGTTGAATACGAGATATTAGATAACAGATTGTCAATAACTTGTCCACGAAGTATATAGTTATTAGTAAGGATTCATAAGTTCCCACTTTTAATATTCAAAACTGCAATCTATCATTCTCTGAATTTCACTATAAGTCACATAGCGAATATATTAAAACTTGTGACATAACGCCACATATATAGGCAACCTGCACACGATGCGTATATTGTAAAAGACAAATCAATCCAATTCCTGAATACAAAAAGTGGAGAAATTACAAATCTTTACCAATCCAACCAAGTATAATGTTTTAAACTGAAAAAACTATTCAGTTCATGTCAGCGTTGCATAATAAATAACTTCAAAGCAGAAAATGTGAACTAAGTAGTGAGACAAGAGAGAGACAAAAAAGAGGGAAGCACACATAACTTACCATAGAAAGCATCCCACAAGTACAATGTTTCACTTCAAAATTCTCATCTGCGAATTGTACACCACCATAAATACTAAATGATCCAGTTCCGTCACCCTGTAAAATCGATTAATTAAACGAACATTGTCTTTTCGTTATGGTAGGATATTTACTGATATATAACGGTTACACAATGTTAGAAACTTTTTCACAGATCATAATTTGCAAAAAAATCAAAACATGTTTAGTGAGAAACATATCATAGACACATACAAATTCAAATGTAGTGGTTCATCCTCGCCCCCCACCTCAAACATTCCAACGATCACTAAAACGACGGATTATTATTTTATAAATCTGATTTTGCTAACATATATGCAACGGGGTGTACCCATGGGGCTGACAACCGTTGTTGTTTTTCCTTTGTCCTTAATGTTAACTTTTGAGAATATGACCATAAATATTTTAAAAAAGAGTAGTTGGTTTTATAGTGTCGGTTACTATGCGAGCCAATATAGTTTATTTTGGTTTCCGGACAAGCCAATTTATTCATTCCTCTCAATTATTCGCTTATCAACCTTGACTACTTTCATATGAGCGTACATGTGTGCACTTTTTATCCCATTCATTACATGTCTGGAACTTATTTTTATGTGACTATAACTATCGATTAATGCTTGATTAAATTGAGTTGGCTCACACGCCTTTTCCACCGCGTGTCATTTCGCTTCTCTCTCGTCTCTTTGCTTCGTTTCTCCGCTCGTTTGTCAAATCAACGATTGTATGAAATAAACGCATTCAAACTTCATTCTCGTATTTGATCTATGTAATTCCGTTATTCACTAACGCGAGCCAAGTCGATGATTATATACGAAGATAGCCAGGATGTATAATTTTGACAACAGTCATTCATACAATCGAACTGGGGTCAGATATCGGGACACAAAAGTTCACACGTTATCGAAATATGTGCTCAACATGTCTAGATGCACACTTTTTTTCGCTCAAATATATCAAGATATAGCACGCTGATACACAAATTATCTCTGTCTATAACGACATTCAAACCTGAATTTAAACAGATGATAACATGATTACTAGAACTCACCCTTGTTAAAAAGGCAATCCCTGAACAAATTATGAGTCTATACACTCATCGTGAAACAATAATAATATGCCACTTATAATAATAATATTATTACTGTACGATAGACAGGTTTGAGGAGTCCGAAAGGGGAAGGAATGAAAAACTCTTTACTAATGCGAGGGTGGTTGTGAACAATGAATTAACACCAGTTATTTTAATGTTATTTCACTAGCATGTGGTGTATGTGGATACACCTTTTTGAATTCTATATTAAGCTTCCAAACAATTGTCGGTTATGGAATAAAGTCAGATTGGATTTTCATCAATTGACCTGTTATATTTTACGACAAAGAAAACTTTGATAAACTTAGGTGTACAGAACAGACTCAGTTACAGTTTTAATTAACGTGGATGAAACAGAGCTCAAATGCGTAACACAGAAGTTGAAATTCAAACAGTCAAACTATGTAAAGTCACTGGCTTACAATTACTGAAAGAAATAACTGGAAATAAAGTACTTAATAAATGAATCAACTTACATTAATGAAATCCCCGCCTTGTACCATGAAATCTTTAATGATTCTATGGAATGATGTTCCCTTGTAACCAGTTGGTACACCATCTTTACGGTATTCACCTGTACAGAATTGCCTATTATGTAGTTGGAAATCAATACACACAATAAACAATCAAGTTAATTACAAATAGTCATATTCTAAATTTATTAGACACGAGAGAGTGAACCGTAAATGGACATAAAGGTATCCGAAATGAGAACTAGTGGAAAATATTTTTGGCATACACAAAGTATATACAATTACTTAACCAATAGTAAATACACAGTAAACCCTCTACTAAAACACTCGAATACACTGATATAGAGAATCAAAATCCTTATTTGAACACTTGTAAAAGGGTGAAGATGTAATCGGTGTATTCACAATCTGAATGAAAACCAGCATACTTTTTGTAAATCAATCTTTCATGGGATTTGTACAATCTGTGGAGTATGACGGAAATTAACAGTTTCGCTAAAGCACTAAACTTCTAGCCTTAAGAAACCCAGTTCAAATTAGCATATCTAATTCAGTCTCGGCAACAAGACAGTGATCAACAACCCTATTCTAAACACATATATACTGATATGTCTTTCACTTGAAAATGAATACATGACTCTTTATTTGACGAATAAGACTATATTAAATTTTTAATCAGAATGACAAGTAAGCAAAATTAAATGTCTCGGTAATGCTGAACAGGTTTCAATAATAAAATGTAGAAAGAATACGAAACGATGCCTACCTAAAATTCTCTACAGTTTTTGGGACAATATCTTGAAATAATTCGAATTGCATTCGACCGATTTCCTATAAAGAAATCAATAAAAAAACGGAAACAGCCAGGAAATTATTAGACTTAAGAGTTAATAAGAACCTAATCTATGTACTTATCCAACAGGTGTCTTCAACACATTCCTCACAAAGTGAATAATGTTGAGAAATTATACGCAGGGTACTACTGTAAGGGTGGAAATTAGTTGATGAAACTGTACATTACTAATGGGTCCCAAAAAAAAGACGAACTATCTATTCATCAGCACATCATGATTTTCAATGGTTCTCTAGCTAATAACAGTTTACGATGAAAACTGTTACACAGAGTAGGATGCTTTAGAAAAGATGCAGTTTTAAAGACTATTACACGGTCAATTATTATACTTAATTTTATTATTTAATTAGTAAACATTTGGTTTACGATATTTTCATATTGTCCTAATTATAAGCTTTCATTTAACTTTTTAACCGTTTATTTACGTTTTATGACTCCTGGATTGTTTTAAACAATTGTATAGATGTTGCCCCGTTTTGTATCACTTGTGACTTAGTTGTGTATAAATTGATTCATTATATGTAATGTACTATGGTTGCGTACTTAATTTAATATGATTCTATGAGTATTCGACTCTTAATAATAAAATCCATATAGGCTAACTGCTTTCGTTTTTCTGACTGGATACTGGGGAAAGAAAAAAACTATGTTGAATCAAAAGGAAATATGATCACTGTCATTGCTGGCGGCCGCTTGTGTTAGTGATCACAAAGAAAGTTATTGATCTGATCAATGTAGGCGAACTTGTAATGAGCAAATTCTATAATATTGAAAACCAATTAAGTGGATGATACAACAGAGTAAAGGTCACAACAAAAAACAATCATCAAATTTAATTTATTTCCAAAAACCATACAATCGAACTGTTTTGTTTTCTGAAATCATATGAAATTTCAAAATCAATTAATCAATAAAAACTTAATGTCGATAATGCTATGGGAATTACATCGATTCTCAATAACAATCATTATTCTACTGGACTGTGTAAACTTTCTGTGAGCAATCTCTTTCACTACCACTAATACTGTTACTACTCAGACTAAGATCTACCTTAACAATTTCATCTCACTGTGTTGATATGGTGTGGTAACATGAAGCGATGTACGTGTCAGATTCCACATGCCTTATGACTGAATGATCAACATAGTAGGTTTATACATATATATTAAGAAATATGGTTCGGAAAAATGAATAAAAATTTAAAGGCTATATTTACCTGTCCACCAATCGTGACATCGAAGAAAACGACTGGATTATTCGGATTGTTCATACGCTCCGCAACCGCTGGCAAAGGTACCACCATTGTCTAAATTTAATTAAGGTGGGGGGAAATAACTTTTTGAAAAGCATATATGAGAGGGAAAAATCAACTGAAAACTAAACACATTTTATATTAGGGAGTAGTTTAAATTGGAAATAGTTCACAGTTCAAATTTAACTGAAAAACGTGAACTACAAATGACTGATTGCTGAGAAGTGATCATTGTGATATTTGTCTGGTTCTTCTTCATTGTTGATCGATAGAAATCCGTCAATTTGCGATATGGCTACACAGCAGGTATGATTTTCAGATGCAAAATAGTTGGAGGCAGGGTTCCCGACCGATTAATGTTCATCATCTAACGACGTAAACTACTGAATTCAGCAGAAATGTTTGAATACTATTGTAACTCCTCAGATTTTTCTAACGATCCTATAGTTGCACAGACTGAGAATAATATTCACCTTTGTAACGACTTACACTATCAAACTATCTCGTAAGACAGATTTTTTGCCTTGTCAAACAAACATTCACTTATTCAGTAATTGTTCATTCATTAATTATAAGAGGTTGGGCTATTTAACAATAGTAGAGTAGTAGTTGGTGAAGCCTTTGAAATCCCCTACAATCAGAAAAGCAACTTAATAAGTTCATGAGCAAAGATGAAACTGATTTTAAAATGCTGGTCTCCTGGAGAAATGAAATACAAACATCATGTATATGTTTGCGCAAATAACCAGACGGAGTCCTATTTGACTTAATTAATTCATCTCGGTAACCAAAACGTAAATTTGTATATTTGACTTTAAGGTACTCACTTTTGTGATGACACTTGATACTAGTCGGCTATGAAAGTTTAATCGACTCAAGTTAGAATTATACCGGTTAAAAAACAATTGTTCAAATCAATAAGTCACCCACTCCACTCCCTTATCCCATACTATACTTCTTTAATGGAAAGATTTTACTTTCAATTTAAATAGTAAAAATTATTAAACAAATCAAGCTACTGCTGACAAAAAGTAATTGAAATTAGCTTTCATTCTAATTATACAAATTTTCTTCAACCCATTCACCAAGTATACAGATTATTTAGCTTTGAAAAATATTCTATATGTATGTATGAGAGGTAGTGACATGAATCAATTGCCTAAACCGAAATAGAAGCGAAGTGAAGCTAGAACCTGAAAATCAAATGTTTTAACCACTGACCTATCACTTCAACATACAACACATACACATATGTATTAGTAAAAGTAAGCACGAAAACTGACTTGCAATAAGACAATTTGTGTATTTCTTCAATTTTGATAAATGTCTATAACAATAAAAGTACATATTGCAAGTAAGATCCAATACAAAAAAAAAAAAAATAATAATGTGAATGTACAAATATGTAGCTATTTTCTTTTTGCTATCTCCTGACATATAAAATATGACTAGTCCTTTTTTTATTTTATGTACAAAGACTGAACTCAAAAATTTACAAAACTATAGACTTATAAATACAAAAAATGTACAAATTAATCAATTATCTTTAAACAAATACAGATTTACAATGATAGCTTAGTTAAAATTATTTGACATGTTTGATTATATTGTTGTAACAGTTCAGCAGATATATCGGAATCATCACTATTATCATTATTATTATTACTGTTATTTACAAGTGAAATAGATTGTTCAATTAGATCTTTCAACAAATGAGAATGTGTTATAGAAGATATTGTTGACAATGATGATGATGATGAGGATGGCCATAGATAAGAGAATAATTCATTATGATTTATTTGTTCAATAAATTTAATTATTATCTCCAATGGTAATTTACCAATAAACTGAATAATTAATTTTGGATTAAAAGCAATTAAACGAATGGAACAAATTATATAGATGAATAATAATTTATTATTCATAATTTCCTTTGATTTATTATGAGTTAATATATTTAAAAATTGATTTCCAGTATCGAATAATAATTGTTTTAATGAATTACATTGTTTCCCAGGATTATTTGTTTTGAATAAATGTGAACCATAGATAATAATATCTGTAATTAAACAACTTAAACGACTGATAAGATTCAATACATCATTGTTTGATAACAAATCTTTCATTCTGTATTGTTTACAAAAAAAAGTACATACATAAAATTTAAACAATTAGTATTCAGTAAAAGTTATGTACTATAACAAAAAAAGGTTACATGGGATTAAAATTAAAGTATTGGTTAATTAGATTCGTGGTGAAGTCATCGCTTAACATTAAAAAAGACCAACCTTTAAATAAGTGGATTTACATTAGAATATTACTTTCTATCTATTATAGTATGGTTAGCCGAATAGTATCACAGATAATAACATAAGATGTATCGTAAAATTGAAAACATAAATTTGAACTTGAATATTGAGTTAATTATGTTATGATTTTACATTTTTTGGCGCCTTGTAATTAGATTTACTAGATTATACAGTCCATTAGTGAAGAGTCAGCTTTAAGCCAGTAAGAGCAACAACCCTCACTGAAGCAAGTGAGATTATCTAGTATCACCTTATTCTTGATAGTAAAACTAAAATAGAGATAATTGTTTACTGTGTACTGAAAAGTGCAGACTACCAAGATGAGGATAGAGACAATAGGTGACACAGATGTTCAGAATATCTCGCAACGGTCCAGATACACTCACTCTCCATCTCTCATTACATTTTCACTTTTAAAATTAATTTACACTTTAAGATCTCACAAATTCATTTTTTATTATTCAATCACCATCACTACTATTTCTAATAATCTGACTAAGATTTATCTTTACAATTTCATCTCACTGTGTCGATATGCTAGAGGCAACTTGAGCCGACCCACCCATGCGCCAAATTCTAAGCTGCTAATGACTGACTAATTTACTTGTGAATTTTCAAAGATCAGTAATTCATAATAGAGGTATGGCTTACAAATCCATTAGACATACAATAACAGGACTGATTTATAGCTAAAAGCTTTTTAATGATTTATAAAAATGGAATTATTCACATATGATTTATTTTGACCGTATACAGGAAAATGTGAAAAGTACTACTATAAAATTCTATTGTATCACTTTAATTAGTTAATCAGACTCACTTCAAACACTTTGTTAACCATGGAAGTAGTCGACCCGTGAGAAGCCAACCTAACAAACCATGCTGTCGGTGTCGTTCCACTTGCCGATATCTTCGTGTACGTTGATGATTTCTAGATCTTGAAGAAACATTGGCAGGTTGTTCATCATGGAAACTGATCATTGCCTCTTCACCAACAACAAAAGCCATTGCAGATAAAATTAATCTTAAAGAGTAAATAATATCTGAATCAACCACCGTCTTAGACAATATTGTCACATGTGTTGAAGAATCATCTATGGTATGATCACGACACACATTTAAACATGTATCTACCAGTCTAAGACATAAACAGCGAATACGATGAGTCTGTTGAGAGAATGCAAAATTATGCATCTCAATAGGTGCTGAAGACTCGGATGTTTTAGCTGGTAACCAACCTTTTTGACGAAGTCTACGATAAACAGCTACCTGGTTAGAATTCAACTGAACATCAGATTTTAAACAGGCATTTCGTGCTTCTCGTGCTTCCTGCCAAGCTAATAATGTTTTTAATGTAGTGGTTATGTAGGAAAATGAAAAGTGATCATTATTATCAACCACCGCTGGAGTACGCGAATGAAATTCAAATTCATCTTTGATTAATTCGACATTACGCCATAAATTAGGAAATGCAATTAAACAATTATCTATAATATGTGGCATTAAATATAAAGCAAAATCTTGTTGTGTAAATGCTTGATGAAATAAATGACTCAGATATTGAATTAGAAATTGTCTAGACCATTCTACTTGAACAAGATCTAAATTAGTAGATAATAACTTGAAAATAACACCACAAGCAATCGAATATTGAGTTATTTCAGTGAATTTATTACAGGTATTAAGTAACCATTGAGTAGATTGTTGATAGCAATGGAACATTTCCATTTGATGATCAACACTTACACTATGACACAAAGATACAAATTTCTCATCCATTGATTTTAAAAGTAACGAACAATTTGAATAATTGACTGAAGTTAAGATAGTATTTAGTGAAGATAAAATAATTTGCATTGGCATATCCGTTTGTTTTAATTCACTAGATAAATCTGTTGGCGCTTTTTTAATTGAATCTTTGGTTGATAATAGGAAATTAATACATTTTTGTTGTATCTCGTCATATTGATGATCTGGTTTTGCATTATCAGTAATCATATGATTTGTAGTCTCCGGTAAAGATACATCAGTGGATAAACAATCAAGTACTATTTTTTTCCCGCAATGGGATTCATTGGTCACCTTTCTTTTATGAATTGTTTTTTCAACATCATTCAGCTTACATAGTTGTTTGTTTTTTACCGGACTGGAATGAGTTTTGGGAGCTTCGACAATGACGGGGACTTGAAGCTGAGTCTTAGAATTAGTTGAAGTAGATAACACTTGATTACTAGAACAGATTTTTGGAATTTCATTCAAGAAAGATGATGAACACAGCCTATCACACCACTGTAAAATATCAGATGAATACTTATCTGATAATAATGAAAATAGTTGAACATCAGATTTAAGTGATGATGATAATGATAATGCAGGACAATTGGAACTACGAGAAAGCGCCGAAGGACAGGTCAATACACGAGAGGGAACATTATCATCTAAAGTTACGTTTATTTTAGAGCGCTTATTTTCTAATTTCTTTATTTGTTGTACAAGTGGTTTAGTCGACGTTTTCAAATATGATGTTTCCTCTAAAATCAATTTACCTTTGGAATCTGATGATTTCTCACATAGATTAATTGAAAGATTATCATTAGAGTGAAAAGATGATGTATTCGGTGAACAGTCAATTATTTGAGAATTATTTTTCAATTTACTTCGAGTAACCATTTTATGAGATTTTTCACAAGATTTTGAAATGCAAGAGGAGTTTAATGTTTTTGCATCGGAACAATTGGTCATTTCATTTCCACCTAGAAAAAAAGTCTTGTTAAACACCTCTTATTTCATTGAATGACAAACATGAAAACAAAAGAATTTACACTACAGTACTAATAATCAAGTATGGTTAAACAAATTACCTTAAATTTCGTAATTTACACTATCGACTATCCTTAGTTACATAACTATTAAAAACCACAAAGCACTAAAGAGCCATTTTATCCTAGTATGGGAATCCTCTGCAGAACTCATTCATGACTCCACCGGAGATTAAACCTAGGACCTTCATATCTCGCAATGGACACCGATGAAAAACCCTATACTAGGAAGAGACTTTTATCCAACGCTCTCTAGTCTACACTGGTTGTTTAAAGTCAGCTTGTGATGTAAAC